TACTTCTACTCCTATTTAGTCCATTATTTAATTTTTCCTTGCCTTTTATCTCTCTCCTCTAGCCATTCATACCATTTCTTCCACACTAAGTAATAACTGTCATAAATATGAATCAGTTGTCAAGCATCCGAATTTTGATTAGGTGAGCATGGGAATGCTGCAATGGTCAGAAGTGTGAAAAATAGTTATAAGTCATTTTTTCAGTGCTGTTGTAACGTCGAACAGTCCCTAAACGAACTGTTTTAAGTCAAGGACTACCTGCAATTGTAAGTCAAGAACCAGGAGGCAAATTGATTCATGGATACTATTAAATTTCCAAGGCACTCCTTGAAATTACAACCATAACATTTGTTATCAAGTCAAAGATAGTTATACATTTAATAAAACAAATAATTAAAATTAAAATTAAAAAATAAAAGTTAAAAATTAAAATGGTGCAATAATCCAAATGCCGAAGATGCAACAATCATTAATTGCTATTGATAAAGAATAGCAGATAACAGCATCCTAATAACCACCAAATGTTCTCCAGAGCAGGGGTCTCCAACCTTGGCAACTTTAAGACTTGTGGACTTCAACTCCCAGAGTTCCTCAGCGAGCTTTGTTTTGCTGGCTGTTTTGCTGGCTGAGGAATTCTGGGTGTTGAAGTCCACAAGTCTTAAAGTTGCCAAGGTTGGAGACCCCTGCTCCAGTGGAACCCCATTTTAACAAACTCCAGAATTTTTGTAACTGATGGAGTAAGGGTCACTTCCAAGCAGAGAGGATTCCATTACTTCAGGTCTACAATTAAAATGTATCTCCTCTTGGCCTCCATTCCTTTTTTGTTAAAGAGCTTCTCCCAGGATGAATGTGCTGAATGCACCAATCCTGATTTTTGAGGCACAAAGCTATAGAAGATTTTCTAGATCAAAATCTTAGGCAGCTGATTTTAAAATTTTCTGCATTAAATGTATTAGTGTGATGTTATTCGGGAGAGCTCTTTGTGTGTTATTTTATTTTAAAATGCCAAAGTATCTTGGTTGACTTGTCATTATAGTTTAAAATTGGAAAAAAACATATTTTATCCACCTCCCCATCCCTGCTGAGAATGAAAGAGGAGATGCATAGATCTCTAGATTAAAAATCTCCATTGAAAGTTCAAATCTACAAAATAAGGCATGTTATTTGTTTTATATGCATAAGAGAGACTGGACCACTCTAGAAATGATGCTAGGTATTAATTGGGTAGCAAATCACTGCAGAGACACAAAACTTTAATCCTTTTTAATCTGAAAAAAAGTTATTCTTACATCCATTGCATCTTAAATTAAATAAAAACAAGGAGGGTAACATATATTAACCAGATCCCTGAGATGGTGCTTTAGATTTGTTTTTTGTTTTGGTGAACCATCAGACTGAAATAATATCTGTATTTTTTTTTTAGTTTGCCCCCAAATTAAAGTGATTAGAAATTTATTTTTATTTGGAAGAATAAACATTGAAAATTTAGTAAAAAGTGAAAGTTTTACATGAGAAATCAGACAGATCCAGAACTATGCACACACATACAGTAGTGGCCAAAATTGTGGAAACCTTTTGGGAAAAGTGTATTTTTGATGTTTGATGGCTAATAACACCACTTTTTTTTTTTTTTTGAGTTTCATGTTAATCATATTCCACTGCTGGAATGGCCTGAGAATAGCCCAGACCTTAACCCAATTGAAAATCCATGGAGCCGGCTAAAGAAACTTGTTAGTCAGAACTGACCTAGCAATAAAACCCAGTTCATAGAAGCCATCATTCAATCTTGGTTTCACATTATAACAGCTGCAGAACTAAAAGACTTGGTTCACTCCAAGGGAAGACATTGTAAGGCCGTCATTCATGCTAAAGGTTACCCAAATAAGTATTAACTGACATGGTGATCATTTTTGTATATTTCATTTTTTCTACGTGTTTTACTTTTCTTCTTTATACTGTAACTGCTATTCTAATAGCACATCCTTCATAAAAGTTATTGCATTACATTCTTGATTAAATTAAATTATGTTTCCATTGATATATAATTTTATGGTACTACTAAAAAAAAAAAAAAAGTGGGGCTATTAGCTAGTTTTAGAAAATACACTTTCCCCAAAAGGTTTCCACAATTTTGGCCACTACTGTATATACATACAGATTTCAGATTCTCTTTCACATTATGCTGAAACACAATTTAATGTACAATTTAATGGATTTGCCCAGTGTGGTTAGTTCTAAATTACAGTTTGTAATAAGCAGGGACTACACATCACAATCCTGAGCCTCCACGCCTTTAGGAGCTGAGAAGATCTGGCATGGTATATTGGCATATTATGCCAATATACCATGGTCTTAGGAGGTGCTAAAGGTGTGGGAGCTAACCATGGACAGTTGTTTACAAACTGAATGATTCTTGCTTTGAGGAATTGGGTGTGGGTTGTAAACCACTTCTCTGTGGAAGTTGGGAATCTGCGCAGATATGTAATAAGTAATAAATCCAATAAACACCATTAAGCCAAACCAAATAAATTTATTGCCATGCCTAGGCACAATATGGGAACCCAGTCAAGGTGATGGATAAACAAACCATGTTGCTTAGCATGTTAGGCAAACGTAATTATTGTTTAGTCGAGGTTAAAATAAATGAGGGGCTTAAGACCAGGAATAAACTCAGCTTGAGTTTAGATGTCAGATGTCAGATAGACATCTGTCTACAAGTAGTCGAGAAAACATTCTGCAAAAAATTCTTCCTGGTGAAATTTCACTTATCTCTCCAAGCAACCACGCACATCCACACACACACCCCTTCTCCTTCTCAGCTCAGCATCTCCTCCTTAACTTTCCAGGAGGTTCTACTTCTCATCCCTAGTGAAAAGCAGCAACAAGTTTGCTCTAGTGGGGGGTAAAATAAAACGATTACCCAGGCAAGTTTCTGCCAATTTGGGAAACTCCACTATATGCCTATCGATATACACTGCTCAAAAAAATAAAGGGAACACAAGCAGAAGACATCGGAGATCTGAATGAATGAAATAGCCTTATTAAATACTTTGTTCTTTACATACAGTAGTTTATACACTGCTCAGACAACTAAAGGGAACACAAAACTACTGTATGTAAGGAACAAAGTATTTAATAAGGCTATTTCATTCAGATCTCGGATGTCTTCTGCTTGTGTTCCCTTTATTTTTTTGAGCAGTGTAGAACCTCCCAATTCAATGGCAGTCTACCTCTAAATATCACGTCCTGGGTGTGGAAAGGATGATCCCTAATGACGAAGTCTAATTATCCTTGATTATTAGCCTTCCGTAGCGCTAAACTAGAAGGAACCTTAAAGCGAGGCTGATTTCGCCGGGTTATTCCTCCTGCCTGGCGATAAATCCCATTGAGTTCAACAGGGGAATTGGTCCACAGCTAATGTCCTCGCGGCCGTGGGGCGTTTTTTACGACCCCCTTCGGCACTTGGATGAGCCGAACCGCTACTCGCTCTCTGACTGAACTGGTTTAGGTAGGTGGGAGGCCGAAAGGAAGCGCCAGACACGGGTGGGCTTTTTTGCCCCTTTTCTTGAGGCTACCGGAATTCAGCCGGGGAAGTAAGCGAGGTCAGCGACCCAAGTAACAAACTTCTGAGCTTCGCGGCTGGATGGTGGAGAAGGAACCCACGCTCCACTTTCTCTCGGGTTCTTCTTTCAAAAGGTCCAAGAAGCCAAATAGGGTGCCTGGTGGAGGGGTAAGAAACCCGGCTGGAATTAAAAAAATAAAATGCAGATTGATCTCTTGGTCGGAGGCTTCCTAGCGAGAGTTAAGTAGCAAGGCAACCAGTATGTTGAGTAGTAGAAGACATACTACAAGTAGTACAATACTACAAGTAGTACAGTACTACAAGTAGTACAGTACTACAAGTAGTATATTACAAATAGTATGGCAGACTTCGCTTTTCTTTCCCCCGTGCCTCCAAATCGAAGCTGGATCCCGAAACTGATTTCATTTGGACATCTATTTATTTATTTTTTTAAAAAATGAAAGGCGTAATTTTTGGTCGGAGAAAGCCGAGTGACAATCCTAGAGGAAAGAAAGTATGTCTGAAAGGGGAACTTCCACCACAGGCTAAATTTAGTCCTTTAAAAGATTTGCTCGACTCTTTACGTGCTTTGGAGGAATCGCGCGTCTGCAGCTCCATCGAATTAATTAATTCCCGGGACGCGCTCGAGTTATAACCGAGTGGGTCATTTTTTTTCTTTTTCTTTTTCTTTTTTCTTTTTGTATAGCATGGACCCCTAAATATCCAATCCCCTTACAACCGTCGCGTATCGGTCGTTAAAGATTCAACGGATCCGGGGATCCAGAAAATTGGCTTAATTGCCCAAAACCGTGGTTCAGATCACCGTGGCTAAGCCTGTAAGCGAGCCCAGCTGTCGTGCAGAGGCAACCTGTAGCAAACGGGTTGGGCGAGCTTCTTCCAGAAAAAATCAAAACAGCTGCTGGTCTCGCCAGGAAAAAAGAAAAGAGAGAGAGAGAGAGAAAAAGAACTCGCTTTCCTTCCTTTGCTCGGTCTTCCCGGCCTTATCGCCTTTTAAGAGCCGGGCTGCAAACACGATCGCCGTCGGAATCGCTGTCGCTCGGGCAGAAAGTCGATCTCGTGGGCTTTTTACAGCAGCCAGCCTGTTCTTTCTTTCTTTCTTTCTTTCTTTCTTTCTTTCTTTCTTTCTTTCTCTTTCTTTCTTTCTTTCTTTCTTTCTTTCTTTCTTTCTTTCCTTCCTTCCTTCCTTCCTTCCTTCCTTCTTTCTTTTTTCTTTCCTTCTTCCTTTCTTCCTTCTTTCTTTCTTTCTTTCTTTCTTTCTTTTCCTTCCTTCCTTCCTTCCTTCCTTCTTCTTTTTCTTTTTTTTCTTTCCTTCTTCCTTCCTTCTTTCTTTCTTTCTTTCTTTCTTTTTTCCTTCTTCCTCCTCCCTCCCTCCCTCCCTCCCTCCCTCCCTCCCTCCCTCCCTCCCTCCCTCCCCTCTCTCTCTCTCTCTCTCTCTCTCTCTCTCTCTCTCTCTCTCTCTCTCTCTCCAGCGATCTGGGATGTCATCAATATAGAGATTTTAGGGAGGAGGAAGAGAAGTTACCCGAACCACAGCACAAAGTGACTTTAAAGACCGCGTCAGATTAGGAGTTTCCCCCGGGGCAGAGAGAGACTGCGGGATGGATCGGGACGTGTTTGCCGTCGTGGGAAGCCCCCCCCCCCATCGACTCCACGCCGGAAGCCTTCCCCGAGGAAAGAATTTCCGACGCCTGCAAATAAGGGGCAGGTCAACTGAAGCCAGAAAGCCTGGGTGAGTCAAAGAGGAAGACTACCGTCCGTCTTCTTCTGCTCCGTTCGTCCGTCCGCCCGGCTTTCAGTTTGCGGGACAGAGGCCGGAGCCGAAGAAGTTCCGGAGCCGATACTGGATAATACAAGGAGGTTTGTCTTTGGCCTTGGGCTGGGCAGTGGGAGAAGGCAGCCTCCCTCCCTCCCCACCCAATATCATGTAAATGGAAAGGGCCGCGGGGCAAGAAGAGAGAGAAGAGCCCGGGATTCAAGAGATTCCCCGAAGAGTCGTATTTGGGTGGCAGCTGCTACAGAAGGGGGGGGGGCGCTGCCCCTGCCCTCTGACCTCCCTTTCCCCCAGCCCCTATTTTCCAGCTTCCCGCAAGGCTTCCCACTCAGGAGGGGATATTTTTCTCTTCCCCTCCTTTTTTCCCCTTTCTTTATTCAGAAAAGCAGCGCTTGTATAATCTAGAGGAAACTTCCTTCCTTCCTTCCTTCCTTCCTTCCTTCCTTCCTTCCTTCCTTCCTTCCTTCCTTCCTCCCCTCCCTTCGTTTAAGTTGAAGGTTTGTTTTTTTTCCTCTGCTTATCTCCCTCTCCTTTTTAGTAACCCACCTGATCAGAGATCCGACTGAGTCTGACTTTCGGGGCTCACTCCAAAAATCCCCCCACTAAAAGAACCACGCTTTTTCCTGTTTGTGGGAGTTGGGATGGCTGAGCTGAGGGCGGGGGGATCTCCTTGCTGTATTTGTGTATGAGATGCTTTTTATTTAGTTTACTTTTTTTTTTCCAGTGGTGAACAGCTTTTTCCTCCTTCAGTAGCAAGCCAAGGTCTTCAAAATAAGGACAAAATGCCTTCCGGGTTAGTCAACTCTGCTCCGAAGTAAGTCTCAGGACATTCCCTTCTAGGATGTGGCTCTGATCTTGTGGGGCCTCCATCTCCAATGCCAACAGGTCTGTCCTAATACCTGCAAGTACCAGGATGATAATGTTTGAGATCCGTGTATTGTCCCCCTCTCCATCTTTCCATATTAGACCCCGGGAGTAGTCCTGTTGATTTGGAAGAGATGGCTCCTGCCTTTTCTTCATTAGTGGTGTACAAGGTAGGGGCCAGCATTGGCTGACAAGAAGTCGGGCTTGGCATGAGACCACCAGAAATTCCAAACCTTGGAGTTGGGCGGGGTGTAAGGGTGGAGGGGGGGAGAGAGATAATATTTTGTTGGTTGCCAACAACCCCAAATGGCCACTCCAGAAAATATTTCTGGTAGAGTCACCCAACCTTCATTGCGGTCACATAGCTATCTTCATTTATTAATAACAGGCACAACCATCGTTGAATGGCGTTGTACATCTCTCCAGCGAAGCTTTCGACGCTCAGCCACTGACTTCCCCGATCTCTGGGAGCGCAATCTCCCACCCCAAACCGACTCTTAGCAAATTTGCTTGAAATTTGCTCATTTCTATGGAAGCAACTGCTTCCATACTTACTTACCAAGCAAGTAATCTCGCCGATAGAGAATTTTCGGCTCAGATTTAAAGAAAGATCCATGGAACAAAATCGCCTAAAACCATTAACATTTTGGGGCATATCCCGACCTTGGAGAAGACGAAGGGACCCTACTGCCGAAGTCTCTGGGAAAGGGGTGCGCGGGCGCCCACATTTCTGAAAAGCACATCAATGAATACTGGAAGGAGGGTTTTAAAATGTGTTATCTTCAATGTTGTCCGTCTCCCTGAAAGATCTATTTGTGTTTGTGCCTCTGAGTGTGGATTTGTGCAAATAAACAAAAGTTTATATTTCTGAATCTATTGTTTTATTAGTGTCCATTTCCTCTGCGTTGACTACAAAGAAATGTATGTATGTATGTATATGTGTGTGTGTGTGTGTATGTATACACACACACACATATGTATATATATATATCTGTCTTAAGTTTTCTTAACTTTGTACATATATATATAAAACTTATATAAACAAATATATGTGTGTATATATATATATATATATATATATATATATATATATATATATATATATATATATATGTATACACACACACATATATACACACATACTAGAGGAAAAACACACATAAATCCTACGAAGAAGTAAGAATATATATAAATGTATGTATGTGTATATATATATGTGGCGAGTGTCAGGTTTGAAGGAAGGAGAGGTTATTACTGAGCATTTCCCTACAAAGGCCTTCGGATTTATTTGATCCTCTCCTGTCAGATCTGTCACCAACGCGGACACAATAATTTAGACCTCTCCTTTTCTTTCCTGCCCTCCCCCACGCTACCTTTGACCAAAAGCCAGACCCCCCCCACCTCCGCCAAACCCCTCGCCGCCTAAGCTTATATTCATAAAAGAGTTTTAATCTGATTCTTGATGAGGCTTTTTAAAAAAAGCATCTCAACTCGGAGGCGAGCAAACTTTTCCACGTTTTGTTTTGTTTTCCAGCGCGTTCGAAAGAGATAAAAGGAAAGCTCAAAGCGGGGAGTTGGATTAGAGGGGGAATTTCGCGGTACCTTAGAAGGGGTGGGGGAGTTAACAGACAAGGGAACCCGGGCTCTGTCACTTTAACTGGGGAACATCTGATTTCCAACTCTGGCAGATGGCTCCTGAGCCCAGATTTGCATGCATTCTCTTGAAATCTGTTTTCGCGTCGGTGCTAGATAGATTTCAGAGACAGGTCTATCCTCCCAGATCGCCGTACAAAAGGAACGGGGGGTGGGGGGGGGGGGGAGAGAGAATTGACACCAAGCCGCTTTGCATTGATATACAGACGTGCTATTCTTTCCAGCAAGACGGACGGACGGACGGAGACAAGGTTTTGCAAGAAACGCTGGTGCTTTCTGTATCTCTCCCGGCTTTCAAAATAAAATAAAAGTTTAGGAAGAGGGTGGCTGGCTGCACGCGCCGCTGTGCACCTTTCTCTGTCGGAATGGGAAAGGTTACAGTTTAAACACGCCTCGCCTCTTCCTCTGAAGCTCCCCCCCAGCCAAACACCTATTCCTGGAAAGCAGTCAACCCGCAGCAAGCGAGCGAATTCAGATAGCGACCCTTCCAGCCAGAGCAAGGGCGCCTTTTCCACCATTGGGAAGCGCGCATAAAGGATGGGAAGGAGCCGTCTGTATTGACCGCTCGCGTGTCAACCCAGCTGTCAATTTGCCCCTTGTTTGATTCTTTTCTTTTCTTTTCTTTTCTTTTCTTTTCTTTTTTCTTTTCTTTTCTTTTTTCTTTTCTTTTCTTTTTTCTTTTCTTTTTTTCTTTTCTTTTTTCTTTTTTTTCTTTCCTTTCCTTTCCTTTCCTTTCCTTCCCTTCCCTTCCCCTTTTCTTTTCTTTCCTTTTTTCCTTCCCTTCCCTTCCCTTCCCTTCCCTTCCCTTCTCCTCTCCTCTCCTCTCCTCTCCTCTCCTCTCCTCCTCTCCTCTCCTCTCCTCTCCTTCTTTTCTTTTCTTTTCTTTTTTCTTTTCTTTTCTTTTTTTCTTTTCTTTTTTCTTTTTTTCCTTTCCTTTCCTTTCCTTTCCTTTCCTTCCCTTCCCTTCCCTTCCCCTTTTCTTTTCTTTCCTTTTTTCCTTCCCTTCCCTTCCCTTCCCTTCCCCTTTTCTTTTCTTTCCTTTTTCCCTTCCCTTCCCTTCCCTTCCCTTCCCTTCCCTTCCCTTCCCTTCTCCTCTCCTCTCCTCTCCTCTCCTCTCCTCTCCTTTTCTCTTTTTTTCTTTTCTTGGAAAACAAACAAACAAAACCCAAACCTCCCGTTTTGTCTTTTCTCCCCGAGCCCAGCCAAGCGTCGGAGAGTAACTGGAAAGGGAGATGTGTGTGTGTGTGGGGGGGGGAGGAAAAGTCAGAGCGATTGAAGCGAGGCCAGAGGGAACCCATCGGAAAAGCCGTTGCAAGTTCAGGGGGGAGTGAAAATGTGCGAATGGCACATTTTCCAGATACAATTTCGAGGAGCCGCTGAAAGTAGGGGAGGCGATCCTCTGCAAGGTTGGGTGGGGGGGGGAGGAGAGAGATGCTCTCCATCGCTGCGGGGACGCAGCTGGAGACGAAGCTGCCTTTCTCCCGGCCCTCCACACACACACACACACACACACACCCTCCACGCCCCCATTCCCCTCCCTTCGACCCGGGTCAGTTTAAACAAACCGTTTGGTAAAGCGACTTCAAGTCAACCAGGCTCCTGGGCAAGCCCCGCCCCCTCCTCCCCCCGCAACCCGGGCAAGCCCCGCCCCCTCTTGTTGTAACCCGGAACGCCGCGCGTCGTCGGCAAACTGTCTCTTTTTCTCCTCCAATGGGGCGAGCTTATGCAAATCGGCGCGCCTTATTTGGCCGCCCGCCCCGCCCCCTTTTCCCTAGGACGTTCGCTCCCCCCCCCCCCCCCCCCCCCCCCTCCGGGGGGACCCGGGGGGGGGGGGAAAAAAAAAAAAAGCGAGCGGCGCTTTTGCTCCAGTGCAAGCAGCGCTTCTCTGATTCTCTCGCCTTTTGCCATTGACTCTGCTGCTCTGCCCCCCCTCCCTTCGCGTTCTCTCCCCCCCCCTCTTAGTTTTGCGCTCCTGCCCGGCTCTCTCTGGCTCTCTCTCTCCTCGTGGATCGTGCAGCCTTGCAACCGATCCCCGCGTCTCCCAGGCGAGCAGGTGACCGGCGCTCTCGGGGAAAAGAACGTCGGCTGGCAATGCGGATCCTTTGCTCCGCTTTCTCCCTCCGGCAGCGGCTGCAGAGAAGATGATTCGCCGCCTCGGAAGACGCTGAGACATCCCCGCCGCCGCTTCGGGCTTGCAAAACCTCGAAAGACGCTTCCCCCTCCTTCCTTTCCCTCCGTTGTCTCGTTTAATTTTTTTGTTTTTTTGCTTTTGTTTTAAAAGGACCGGGAGGGGAGAACCCAAATCCCCCTCCAAGACCCTCCAGCTCGTCCTGAAAAGGCGAAGCTGCCCGGGAGAGGGACTCGCGTGCTTGCGTTTGCTGGTGTTTGGAAGTTTTGCTCCCGTCGGAAAAGAGCCTAGTTTGGGTTTTTGGAATAAACTTTTTTTTTTTGTTTGTTTAAATGTTTGGGATCCAAGATACGTTAGGAAGAGGGCCGATCCTGAAAGACAAGGTGCTGGGGTCGGAGATGGATCCGGTCCGCTCCTGGGTCAGGAACGTCGGCGTGGTGGATGCTAACGTCGCCGCTCAAAGGTAAAGTAGATCAGATCTTGAGTTTGCAGCTGATTCTTCCCTCTCTTCCTGCTTGGGCTTGTTGGGTGTGTGTGTGTGTGTTGCCGTCGCCCTCTTTGCTCCTCAGGCCATCCTTTAGTTGGTCGATCCCAGGCCGATCTCTCTTCCTTGGTTTATTTCTTTCCCCCGCACACATTCAGTGGGGCTGGAAAGATCTTCGCACCCTTAGGAAAGAAGGACCTGGCGCAAACCCAGTTGTTAGGAATAGGGAGTTATGTTGGCCTAGTCAACTTGGAAGGAAGTCTTCTTGGCTGATTGGGGTTTATTTTTCAGTAGGCAGGGAAGGGCACTGCGCCCAGAGGAAATGAAGAGGGCCGTTTTTCAGAGAGTTCAGCATCCTGAACTCTCCAACAGGTCTGAGAACCCAATTTCTTCGGCTCTCTGGGAGCTGATGCCTGGCGTCTGATTTACTTAGGAGGAAACGGTCCTAGAGTGATGCTCCTTCTCTTAAGAAAGTCGGGCCATCCCGTCAGCGATCCTCATTTTCTAGTGCAAACGTCTTCAAGATAGGATAGTGGTAGCCTCCACGGCTGATCGCCTGATCTTCGTTAGAACTCGCTCCGCCAGAAGTTGCGAACTTCCAAATTGAATTGGTATTTTCACAATCAGCCTTTAAAACCTTGGCAGTGAACATCTGGAAAACATCTGGAAAAGCATGCAAGGAACCGAGACCCGATTTACCCTCTTTATTTCAAGATCTAAAACTTGAGGGATAGAGGTTGCACGCCATCCTCACCGTCCGATCAGCACCCGCTGAATCTAACCCGATCCAAAGTTGGGCAGATGCCTCTTGAAGGCGGAAAAGGACGCTTTGATGGACTTAGTGCTGAACCGCAAATGACATTTAGGCCTGATTCACACGACCCGTTCAACCCGTCTGTGATTGATTTGGTTAGCGGGTTGAGTGAACTCAACACTTGAGGCGTGACAAGGGTGGTGGGGGGCTCGAATGGTTGGCGAACACCAGCCAATGGTGGTTTATTCAATAATACCCTGTTATCCAAACCATGGCTTACAACAATGTGAGAAAGGCGGTTATGCTTGGATCTGGAGTTCAAGTCAAACTCCGTTGAAAAGATCGTGCTAAACAAGTGAACTCAACGGGGCTCTTTCGAGCAAGGGCTAGGCTAGGGAAACCCAATTAATGGACCTTGATATCCGAGTCATGCAACGTAAGGGGTCATCTCTGCACTTCTTGACTTAGAAGGCCACACCAGTCTTAGGGTGTTAAGTGCCTGGAAGCTGAGTAACTTGGCTTGGGTGAGTGACTAAAGGGAAGTAAAGCGGATGCGGGCGGATCCATAGGCTGAATTCACCCAGCACAGCCAAGACGCGGCTTAATCCATCCTGCTTCCTAAAATCAACCAACATTGCCTGGTTTCTCAGATCGGGCGATTTCCCAAACTGGCGGGGCTTCACGGAACCACCACGAGTCAAAAGCAAACAAAAGCAAACACTTGAGACTTTCCTGTGTTGTGTGAACTGGGCCACTGAGACGGAGCTGGCATCTGAAAGCAGGCACGGCAGGAAACGCCCGCTTTGAACCGCTCGATTCGCCCAGGCCTGCTCTCCATCCAGGCTGGCTTCTCAGCCTTAAGATGGGAAGCGACGCCTGCTGAGTTCAGGGACTCCCTGGACTCGGGGATCGCCCTTCGCAGCCAACCTCCGGCTTCTCCCGATGAGGCAAAGGGCGCCCGCGCGATCCTTCCCCACGGATTAAAAGTAGGCGCCCTTTGCGAGGGGAGATTCCCTTCTAAAGAGTGACAGGAAGAGAATCAAAGAGAGGATCTGCGGGAGAAGTTTGAATGAAGCCTCAAAAGTTTGCAGCCATCCGGACTTGGTGAGGAGGGGCTGGCAACGGACACATTGCCCCCAAAACTCCATCGCTCCCGAAACCGAGAGGTCTCTCCCTCCGAATCACTCGAATTGCCGCCGCTGGGAACCGAACAAGCCATAAAGAACCCAAACCACAAGCCACCGACGGACAACCGAGTTCTTTGCTCGTTCCTGCGCCCCCAGCACGCTTTAACTTTCACCGCCGCCGAGAAAATAAAGTCCTACCCCGGAGTAAAAAAAAAACCCTTTGGACTCCGCGGAGAGGGGCTTCGGCAGGACGGCAACAGGGACTGGGAAACTTTCCCCCCCGCCCCCCGAGAGCCTTGCAAATCTACCCTTGGCCTCCTCAGGAGTCACCGGAGCGCCAGGGAGGTTGGAAAGCAGAGGAAGCCGTTTTTGCGTCAGATGCAGCGGGAATTGCACGCCGAGAAAAGGGCCGGTAAATTCCCCCATCCTCCCCGAGGCGCAAAGATGAGCTGAAGCAAAAAAAGTTTGGCTTGGATGCCAGGGACAGGATATTTGGGTCTATTCTTCAACGGAGTAGATACAAGTCCTTTCCTCCCTCTCTTGAGGGGTAAAGTTCTCCCTTCGGAGAAGAAAAGGCAGGGTCGACTTTCGCCGAGGGGTGCTGGGGTCTCTCTCGTGTATGAGGAGCCTCAAACCTTCGGGCAGGTCTTCCCACCTGGGGCCATATAACCATACAGCAGCAGCAGCTCTCAAGTCTCCGGAGGAAAATAAAAGATCCCCAAACTCTCGTGGAATCTCTGGGTGAGTGAATGTTGTTCACGCATTAACACAGTTCTTAAAAAGCGGGATTTTGTCTTACTCTGGATCCACGCCTGTCCGAAGCTGGCTTGTACACTTCGTTAGTTTGTTTCTCCTCCAGAAATCAAATTTGTCTCGATTCTCTCTGTTAGCTGCCAAGGAAGGCGATTTTAAATGATCCCCTTCAAGGGAATTTTACAGCCCTCCTTCCCTTACAAATCTCCCTCATTTAAAAGGGATGCAAAGACTCTTCGAGGACAAATTTAAACCGAATGTTTCCCAAATTAGTCCCTGGCCTTAAACACATTAAGCTTGGAAAGTTGATCTTCTGATCTTTTGGGGTGGGGTGGGGGTGGGGGAAGAGTCGCTCTTCCGATCCTAAAACCACTTTTGCGGGACCCAAGTTTTGGGAAGTGAAATTCACAGCAAAATCTAGCAGAAAATAGTTTTTTTTTCCCCTTCTAAGTTTCGATATGAGTAAAAGTGCGTTTCGGGTAAGGCTACACACTTCTGAGCCGTTTGTAAGTTTAAATCAAGATGCCTATATTGAGAAACAGTTCCCATTTAATCGAGCCAAGTTGATTCCCATGCGGTGAGATGGATCTATCCATGCCAAGTCAAACCTGGTTACTTCACTGAACTTGAACACAAAACTTCTGCTTTGATTGTTGCGTCCTATATGAATCCTAAAAACCCCTCAGCTTGACAAATATGCATCAAATGATTTTAACTCCTTTAAATGTGGCGGGATCTACTTCTACAGCAAGTGGCCTTTTCAAGCCTCACCCCAAAATCTCTTGGCTGAAGCTAGTAAAATTTCCTTCGGGGGTATTAAGAGTACTTTCGTAGGATCGGCGCAAAGAAAGATGAGAACTGGAAAAGGGCAAGGCAAGGCTGAGATCTTGTAGGAAAGCAACGTTGGCACCAGCTTCTCCAAATCCTCGGGAGCTTCACTCTCGAGTAAACAGGCAGAGCAGCGCAGTCGGTTGAAGCGCCAGCGACTGTAGTCCAAATCCCAAAAGAAGCTGGACTTGGAATAAACTCGCTCCAGGGTGATTTCCGGGCCAGCTTGAACGCCGGGTCAAACGGTTTTCCGACTCCCTTATGGGGATCATGAGCTGATTTCCAAGCGACCTCCTTCGGATCCGGTGTGGAACTTCCCTAGAGCAAGTGCGTGGATCATTTTATTGCCCAGTCCAAATATTTGGAATAACCCCTCTTTAAAACCCCAGAGCTTTCCAAGAAACGTGTTTCTTGCGGGGGAAGGTAGAGAGCGAGCTCGCGGCCCCAGGAAGGATTTAAAAAAAAAATATATATGATCGATTATGTCTTCTGTTTAGGTGAACAATCCATAAACTTTCCGATCCAGTGCAGCCTCTACTTTCTCTCCTCCCCCAATCAATGCGCACTAGCTGTTGGTGACCATATGGAGAAGAGAGCCCCCCCTACAGCTATTGATCATCCGTCATTGATCCGAATTAGACCCCTAGAACAGCGCAATCTCTTTGTCCGCCCGGTCCTTTTAAGCTCGCTGGTCCGCCCGCATCATCAGCGTAAAGAGTCTGAGAAATCAGTCTGAGAAATGCTACCTTGGCGTTGTGTTGCCCCGATTCTCTTACCCGTAATTTTTTTTTTTTTAAATTGATTTATATGCCGCCCTTCTCCGGAGACTCAGGGCGGCTTACAATGCGTTAAGCAATAGTCTTCATACTTTTGTATATTTATACAAAGTCAGTTTATTGCCCTCACAAACTGGATCCTCAATTCACCTACTAACTTAGAAAGGATGGAAGGCTGAGTCAACCTTGAGCCTGGCGAGATTCGAACTTACTTTAATTGCAGACAGCTGGTGTTAAACTACAGAGTTCTGTCTGTTGAGCTATCCAGGCTCACTAGTTCACTCAAGTACAGGTTGTTAAAACTAATTCTTTTCCTGCTTGGGCGGAATCCTAAACTAACTACTTCGGTGGGTTTCCTACAATAGCTCAGCTAAAACACGTTCCCCGTTCAGTAGGTTGTGTGAATGCAGGCAGTGTGAGGGTTAACGTTAGCTTCGTCCGAAAGCGGCTCCAACTGATATCCAGGGGGCTTATTTCCTGTGTAAACCCAGCGGCACAAAATATTGTGGTTTTCTATGAAAATAACAAAAGCTCACCTGAGTTTTCGGGACAATCTTTGATGTCCTAGAAAGGAAAGCGAGAAAATCATCCCCGAATTCCACTTTTGCTATTTTAGCAATAACTTGCCGGTTGGATTACGGTTGAGGAATGGAGAAGATTTAAAAACAACATTTTTTTATGGTGGTGCAGGCGGGGATATGAAGCGTCGTGAAATACTTGAAGGGACAATACAGTTTGTCTCTTCAAGCTGCTTTCACCTCGATTATTGTTTAATAATCGATGGCTGCGTGAGCGGAGAAGGAAGCTACTCCGTTTGGTGCGGTGGAATCAGTAAAACGGTTATCCGGGTCTACTCATAAGTAAGCCCCGTTGGTTCTGCCTAGGGCTCGGGTGCCGGTGTATAGAACTGAAAAGTTCGCAATTTGGGTTTCATAACTGCGAGAGGGGGAAAAAAAGTCCCAGTGATAAAATTATTTTTGAGAAAACGGGAAATTCAGCAGGTAAACCTCTTGTTCTCCCCCTCCTCCTGCCCTGCGTCTTTTCTTCATCTTTTCGCTTGCTCTCTCATAAGCGACTCGGGGGTTGACTACCTTCTCCCACCCCCCCATCCCCCCACGACCGGATGAAGTGGGTGATGGAGATGGCAGGACGGCAGGGGAAAGTTGGTTAATAACGTTAATATGCACTGGATAAATTGAACCGCAAATTAGCCGTCTCCATGTTGATTTAATCTAATGCGTGGATAGTTTATGGTTTGCTGTTTCAGCCTCAAAACCTGGGTCAAAGAATGAGGCCGTGGTTTATTCAGACCCGGGGGCAACTTAGGAAGTTAGCCACCGTCAAAAATCCACGGTGCAGACGAAGTTTTAGTAAGAAAGGCGTTAAGCAGGAGGGTGCCTCGACGAGGAAGAGGCGCAGAATCTGCACTGCTCTCTCTCTGTCGGCGGCCCGGTTCACACGACGGGCTAAATCCTAAAATGGTTCGAGGGATAGTTTTGGGGCGGCGGAGTGTTAGGATTGTTACTTCGGTTTCTAAAACCTGGTTTATGATTCAGCTTACCCGACAACCTAGCCCCTCTGAGGATTTGTTGGATAAAACGCGTGTTTAAGGCTTGGCATATTGTGTGAACGGAGTGTAACAAAACGGATTCTCCTCTCCGGAAACTTTTTTTTTTCCACCCAAGGCCCCCAAAACATAAAACGACTCGCTTTTTAGAGAAGGCGGAAAACCAGATGGGATTAGAATTCGGCTTTGCGTGCTGTATAAACTCAGTCATGGTTTACCTAGTGAGCCCCAATCCTTATTGAAAAAGACGTCCACGGGTTATGCTCGCGCCAAGCCAAGGTATGATTTACCCGAGCGCCTTGGCTGGGTTCACACGATTCCCTAATCCAGGAAAGGTAGTTTCCTCGGCCACAGCTAGCTAAATTCCCGCACCAGCTAATCCCAAACAGGCTTAATCCAAAAGCGGGTGCGTGGGAAATTTCCTGCCGGGGGGGGGGGGGTATTTTAGCGCAGGTAAGGGTGCTTGGACCCCCGGAATGAACCTGTTTTGCGTAGCCGAGGCAGCTGCCCTTATCCGCGCGTGGCTTTGGGCGGTACCGGGACCGAAGCGAAGGCGAGGGAACGGGCTGGCTGCGGGCCGCGCTGGTTCTTTCTCTCGTTCTGCCTTAACCCCGGTTTGCCCTCTCCTTTCCTCCTTTCCAGCGGCGTGGCTTTGTCTCGAGCCCACTTCGAAAAACAGCCTCCCTCCAACTTGAGGAAATCCAACTTTTTCCACTTCGTCTTGGCTCTCTACGACCGCCAGGGCCAGCCCGTGGAAATCGAGCGGACGGCGTTCGTGGACTTCGTGGAAAACGACAAAGTAAGGGTCTATTTTTCTGGCCTTCTGGCTTTTTGCTTCCCTCAGCCCAACCCGCCTTATTCTGCCTTTCTTTCTTTTTTAAATTTGATTTATATGCCGCCCTTCTCCGGAGACTCAGGGCGGCTTACAATGCGTTAAGCAATAGCCTTCATCCTTTTGCAAATTTATACAAAGTCAGCTTATTGCCCTCACAATCTGGGTCCTCAATTTACCTACCTTAGAAAGGATGGAAGGCTGAGTCAACCTTGAGCCTGGCGAGATTCGAACCTGCAGTAATTGCAGGCAGCTGGTCTTAATAACAGGGTGCTTTAGACCACTGTACTACAAGGCTCATTCTTGCCGTAATGAATGTAATACGATCCGTAGCGAGCAAAAAAAATATTTCCCAAAATTACAATGGCACCCAGACAACTTCTTTCTTTCTTTTTAAATTGATCCTAGGAAGCTGCGCTCCCGAATAATAATTTTCAGTTCCCCCTCTTCCTGGGATTCCTTTGCCAAACTAATTATTCGGCCCGGTTCGGTCAATTTCAGTCTGGAGTTTAAAAGCTACCCCTGCCTCGTTCCCCAGCTAGGACCGGATTCCGCGCGAATCAGGACCTACCCGAATCCGAATTGATGGGAGAGCAGCTGAGTTTGATTTCCAACTAAAAGAACTCCCCCCCCCCGTTGAGCTACAGGTTGAGCGCACACCTGGAGCGCTAGTCAATTTCACCCACAGCTCAAGGTGGGCCTTGTTAATTTCAGGCATAAGCTCAGGTTGTTCCTCCCTACATCCACGTCCTTACAAAGCGGGGACAGGTCTTGTCCGAAAGAATAGGGGGGAATTTAGGACTGTAGTCTCGACTTAGCTTCTCTCTCTCTTTTTTTTAAAATTTGATTTATATGCCGCCCTTCTCCGGAGACTCAGGGCTTCTTACAATGCATTAAGCAATAGCCTTCATACTTTTGTATTTTTTATACAAAGTCAGCTTATTGCCCCCACAAACTGGGTCCTCAATTTACCTACCTTAGAAAGGATGGAAGGCTGAGTCAACCTTGAGCCTGGCGAGATTCGAACTTACTTTAATTGCAGACAGCTGGTGTTAAATTACAGTGCCTTGTCTGCAGAGCTATCCAGGCTCCTCTTTGTGGTGGGGAGAGGGAAGGGGCGATGCAACTGGTCAGAATTTACATTTGGAGACTTGTGGCTTTCGCCTCTATGGGCTTTGCAGTTTAGTTAGTTAGTTAGTTAGTTAGCTGTTAGTTTTTAAACGGACATTTACCGGTATTTCCTTGATCGGGAGTCCCGACAAAATGAAATTCAACTGCCCTATTTTCAGGGTTTTTTTTTTTCTTCTTCTTTTGCCTCACACTCTTGGATATTTTTCTTTAAACGGACACTGCTTTGCTCTGAAAAGATTGTGTCCAGTTGTGAAAAGTTTCAGAAGGAAAAAGAACTAGCCCAACAAGGCTGTCCCTTCTCTTCCCAGTTATTTTAGCAGGACCCAAACCACAAAATATCTCCCCTTGCATGGTATTCGCATGAAGCTCTGGCATATGCAGCCTTTGGGGAAAGGCTGTTGACAGTAAAATGTAACACTAGTTGGGAAAATCTGCCTCCTGTTCAGGAATTCTCGCTCCTGGGTGTCTTAAATCGGGACAATGTTATGTAGGGTTGTTTGGGAGCCCAATAGAGCCAACTTTTCAGCAAACTCTTTATCAATTTGCATGAGTTAACCAGCGTTAAAAAGGAATTTCCTTAAACCCAGGTTGCCATGCTACTAAGCTTCTATTGAGCTTAGAGGCTGCGATTTATGGCTCACATTAAACCTCCAACTCGTGTGTGTGGTATGTCTAGTTTATAATTCAGCATGCTGGAGCTGAGCAAATTGGATTAATTGAATAAACCACAATTTAGTTTTGCATGGGTAAACATTGACAAACACAGTTATTGGGACTTCTGAACAAGCCATAGGAAAGATGGGGCTGCTGCTATTAATTCTGTGGCTGCAAGGACTGATGAACTGAGCTTATTTCTGGAAAAACTCTAGCTGGATTCACACATCCCAGTAACTATAAAGTAGCTTGTTTAGATCTGGCCATTGTGATTTATAAGATACAGTTTCTAATAGTGGCAACTCACCTTATTCACTAAATCATTAGACTAACACCATTAAGGGCTTAGTGTGGTGTGTGAACCCAGATTCTTCCTGAAACAGTTTTCCTTTTTTTTTACTTCTCAGGAGCAAGGCAATGAAAAAACAAATAATGGGACACACTACAAATTGCAGCTTCTGTACAGCAATGGTAAGTCCTTCCCCAACTCACTCTCAACAAAGGGCCACGAAGGAGTAAGCTAATTATCAGAGTTAGCTTTCTCCAGACCTGGTGCCCTCCAGGTGTGAAAAAGGCAAAGCCACCTGTCAACTGGTGATGTCATGGACACACCTTCGTGGTTAGGTTGTATAGTTTTCTTGGCAGCAAAATGGAAATTCTTTGCTGTTGCCTTTTCCTTTTTAAAAAACTTCTCAGTTTACATCTTGGACTTTTCTACTTGTCTTCCACCCGAACTTTTAACCAGTTCAAACTTTGCTTATCTTCTATGACCAGCGACAGGTGCTTATATACTAAAAATCACTAGAATATTTAGTTGAAGGTTCCATCACCTGTAACCAGTATGGGCATTATCCTGGCTGGGCATGATGGGAGGGGTGTTACAATTGTCCTCAATGTGTCTTCCAATACATCTTGGAAAGCATTAGACTGGGGAAGGGTTAATGATTGATCCTGCTGCTCTTAGGCAAGGCAATATGGAACACTGGTTTGTTTGTTTTTTAAATGGTGGAGTCGGTCTCCTAGTCTCCATCAGGTGACAAATGTGAATATATGTGGTTTTTTTTAAAAAATTCGATTTATATGCCGCCCTTCTCCAGAGACTCAGGGCGGCTTACAATGCGTTAAGCAATAGCCTTCATACTTTTGAATATACCTGCTTAGTAGGGCTTTCGGCCCCCCCAAGCGGTGTTCTTTTTTATACAAAGTCAGCTTATTATTTTTAATTATTATTATTATTATTATTATTATTATTATTATTATTATTATTATTACTATTATTATTATTATATAATTTGATTTATATGCCGCCCTTCTCCGGAGACTCAAGGCGACTTACAATGCGTTAAGCAATAGCCTTCATACTTTTGTATATTTATACAAAGTCATCTTATTGCCCCCACAAACTGGGTCCTCATTTCACCTACCTTAGAAAGGATGGAAGGCTGAGTCAACCTTGAGCCTGGTGAGATTCGAACTTAGAGTAATTGCAGACAGCTGGTGTCTGAGCCACCAGGCCCTTTTATGTGTTAACATACAACTTGGTATGAATGCCAATAATTGTGCAATGCGTATGTAGTTTTGATATCTCCCCAGGGGTTTATGCTATAGTTTTGAACTCCTGGAATGTGGATTTAGGAAAGCTACAAAGGAAGGTGGCCCTGGGTGGAGGAATACTTACCCAGGTATTGGAGGTGGGTGTCTAGCATTATGCCTACCTCAAACGACTTGCAAAAAGCCAATAAATGAATAAAATCACCCAAAGAGCCCCTGTTGCATCTCAAGTCAATTTCAGTTTTGATGCTACTTGGCATCAGCAACACTTTTTACTGTACCAAATCCAGAGTGGAGTTTCCTTTTTATAATCAGGGATTTTTGCATTACCTTTTTTTGTTTGGAGAGCATAACATTTATTATCCAGTAAAGAACAAGAAAAGAGTGATCACGCTTTCATTTTTTCTAACAAAGGTTACCACTTTTAGAAATTTGCAGCCTGTGAGGCTGACCTTCAGCCTACCTTCACAGCATTTTATTGGATGTCCTTCCTGACCACACCTGTTATATTCAGAGGGAGCAATGCAACTGCTTTTCATAAAGGTTCCAACTCATAGTTCATCATTTCTCCTGAACCCTGTTCACAAATTTGGATGACTTTATATTTTTATTTTCTGGATGCCCTCTGTATTTTATATTGTTTGGGTATGTTTGAGGAGCATCACCTGGTCTCACAACCATCAGAACCTTTGATTCCCTTCTGAAATGGATTGATGTGTGGTGGGCCATGATTAGACTTCCCTTCCAATAAGTACTCAACAGATCAAGTGCATATATACTGTACATATCTCTCTTTGTAGGTGGGTAACTTAGTTGGTGGGTAACATCATACCTAGCTACCTTGTTTAAGTATGATTTACTAAATACGTTTCAGTTCCAGTAACACACTGATCCCTAAACTATGGTTTACAAAACACAACAATTGGATTTATAGAATACACTAAGTGACAAAGAAATAAATCACCGTTTGGGTTAGTAGTTAGTAGTTAGGATCTGCGCTCCTTCCGCCGTGCTGTGAAGACCTTTTTATTCCATCAAGCGGGCTTGGCCTGATCTCTTCCCTTTTTAAATACGTAAATTTTAATCTGTTTTTAAATTATTGGGGTATTTTAATTTGTCTGGGTCAAATAATTTAATTTGATTTTATCGGGTTTTTAAATTTTGTGTATTTATGTATTTTATTGTTGGCTGTTCACCGCCCTGAGTCCTTCGGGAGTAGGGCGGTATACAAATCAAATAAACTAAATTAAACTAAACTAGTACAGTCTGTAGAACATAAGCAGGGAAAGAATGGATAGTGAATCTATTAGTCATGGTTCAGTTTGATAATTTCAGATGTGGGACTAGATGATTTTGAACCAGGAATGGCAAAAGATTAGATCCAGATGTAATACTTGGATTGGAGCCAATGAAATCAATGAGGCTTAAATTGGTGGTGAATAACCTAAGCTCCATTGATTGTAATGGGTCTATTTGAAGCAGCACCTAGCCAATTTTGGTTGATCTTAGAAATTAAGTGGACTGGAGATGAGAGACCTCTTGGGAATTCTGAAGCTGTTTTCAAGACTGGGAATGAACAAATAAACAACTTTTGGAAAAAGCAGTGACCATGTTGGTAATTACCGAGAATGCTTCATGAAGGCAGTCCTCCTTGATTTAAGGGCAATTTTATTTTTAACTATTCCAAGTATGACTTAGTTTGGATCCAATGACATATTATTAATTTATTAAAACATGGTAAGGCAGCCTGCCTACATTTTGAAGGCCTCCTGATTTATTCTGCTGAATGACACATTTGCCCCAAAGAGTCCTGCTTAGAGGTCACCATGGAAAAATGGGAGAGGGAAGGAAGAAGGGAAAATTGGAGTGGAGAGAAATGCGGGCTGATAAAGATTGTTAGAAAAGAATGAGTTATTGATATACAGCAACTATCCTTTAGTCTTGATTATATCTCCTAGAAGTTATGATTATCATTTACTGAATATGGATGGTCCAGATTGTGGAAGATAGATGTGATGCATCATGAAGGTGTCTGTATATGAATGCTATGTGTATATGCTTTAGCATCATGTGCTTTGGTGTCTCCTTCCCTAAACAGCTTACCTGTGAGAGAAGGCAGCCTATAGTGGGGAACAAATCCTTTGAAAGAGTCCCTTCTCTCATCCTTTTTTCTTTCTATTCCCTGTAGGTGTCAGAACTGAACAAGATCTATTTGTCAGACTCATTGATTCAGTCACAAAACAGGTGAGATTTCTGCTCCCATCCTTTAACCTCAGCCTACCTGTGTTTCTTATTATTCAGAGAAATAGTCATCATACCTTATCAGAGATAGCTTGTATCTTCTATGAAGGCTGCTTCAAGGAAGGCTTGGAGACTTCACTTGCAACATGCAAACCGATGCTTTAGGTCTGGTGCTATTTTTTTTGATCACATTGGAATTGCATCTCCCAGGATCCCAGTCTGTAAATGGAGAGGACACAGTCAGAGAAGGTTGTTCCTGAAGATTTGTAATTCCTCATCCTGTTTTTATTTCCAGATTGATAAATCACAGCGGAGAAAAGATTGTCTTATTTGTTTTAAACTGACTCGCCCATATTCTCCACTTCTTTATAGCCAATTGCCTATGAAGGACAAAACAAGAATCCAGAAATGTGCAGAGTTCTGCTCACCCATGAAGTTATGTGCAGGTAAGACAATGTGATTCTCAGTCATCCAGGTCATGATTGTCCCAAAGGTGCTTTTTCAAGAGGTACAACTGGACTTCCTTGTTTTTCTTTGAAGATGTTTCGCTTCAAGAAAGTCCAGTTGCCTCTTGAAAAAGCACCTTTGGGTAAGACAATGTTTTTCCTTTACGTTCACGGAAGCGGCATGTGACAATCACACTCTAGTAGCTAAACAGGCCTACATGCTGCTGTTGCTGAGATTTTTGAGGTGGAAAAGAAATGGGAGATATTTGGTTGAAAGCAGTGGTGAAATGTAAAATTTGTTACTACCGGTTCTGTGGGCGTGGCTTCATGGGGGGGGAAATGTGACTGGGTGGGCATGGCCAACTTTTTTTTCTTTTTACTTTTTTAAAGCATTTTTTACAACCTATTCGGGTGAATAGGTTGTAAAAGAAAAGGCTTTGACGATCGCGTGGCACAGCTGTGATTGTCAGAGCCTTTTTTTTTACCTTTTAAAAGCAGGAAGTAATGACACCCAGGTGGATGGGCGGAACCTTATTGCTACCGGTTCTCCAAACCACTTGCCACAATCGTTACCGGATCACCTGATCCGGTCCAAACCGGGAGCATTTCACCCCTGGATGAAAGGGTGATGAACAATTTTCACCAGTGTGAAGGCTAATTATCCAGTCAAGGAGATGAGAAGGTCACCTCATGAAGCAAAATCCGGAAGCATTTTTAATTAATGCTCTAAATAAATTTTTTTAAAAAGATAATATTTGGGAAGACGGCAATGGATCCGCCTTCTCTCTGTTCAGCCTGGCATTCGCTGGCTTTTAATGTCCATTGTTCAATTGCGGCTTTGCCTTATTTGCAGACCAAATCCATTATAGCTTGTTCAAAAAAAAAAAAAAAGGATAATGAAACTTGGCTTAGTGTTATGCGTCAGCCTTGCCTCTAAATTTCTTGGACAGGAAAGAAAAGGCGCACCCAAATGGACATTCCAGCTTTTTGTTGTTGTATTTTTTTAAAATCAAGGAATATTTCCAACAAAGTAGGTAAAGAAAATAAAGGGATGCAACTTCTAGAGCAGGGGTCTCTAACCTTGGCAACTTGAAGACTTGTGGACTTCAACTCCCAGAATTCGTCAGCCAGCAAAGCAAAGCTGGCTGAGGAATTCTGGGAGTTGAAGTCCACAAGTCTTCAAGTTGCCAAGGTTGGAGACCCCCGTTCTAGAGTGCTGTGGCTGGCCTGGCCTGCAATAGTAACAATCCAGCCAATTTCTCCCTTTTTAAAGATTTCCTGAGAACAGGGGGAAAATTCCAGAGAAGGGCTGGAACACTAGATAATATTTAGCCAGATGATCTTAAGACCTGGGAATGTTCACCCAACTCTTGGCTGGAGGTTCTGCTCTCTTAAGGGACTTGGATTTTTCTAACGAGAAGGTTTCATCCATATTTTCCTGAACTTTAGCTATTTAACTTTCCCAACTCCAGCTTCTCAATTCGTTTATACATCTCTGCATACAAGTCTAAAGTCACATGAAGACGGCAGTCCCTATCCTATCACCTTTGTTTTAGCGTCAACAATTGCAGAGTGTTGTCCTTTGTCAATGTTGCCCCAATTTAACAAGGGATGAGTATGCTTGCATTTAATGCAACAACGGGGCAGTTGTATCCTATGCATGTCACTCAGAAGGAAATTCTGCAGGGCTCAATGCAGTCGTATTCGGGTAAGTGATATATACTGAAACAAATCAACAAATAAGAAATAAATACTGGGTAGCTTTAGCTATAACTACATTTTACTTTTTTTCCTCTTCTTGTTAGCATGGCACCTGAACTATCATATAGAGGTAGTCCTCGTCTTACAACAGTCCCTTTAGTGACCATTCAAAGACACAACAGCGCTGAAAAATGCGCCTTATGACCGCTTTTCACACTTACGACCTTTGCAGCATCCCCACGATCGTGTGATCAAAATTCAGATGCCTGCCTGGCAACTGACTCATATTTATGACCGTTGTTGTATCCCAAGATCATGTGATTGCTTTTTGCAACCTTCTGACCAGCAAAGTGAAGGGGGAAGCCAGATTCACTTAACAACCATGTTGCTAACTTATCAACTTGCAGTGATTCACTTAACAACTGTGGGAAGAAAGCTCGTAAAATGGGGCAAAACTCACTTAACAAATGTCTCACTTAGCAACATAAGTTTTGGGCTCAATAGTGGTCATAGGCTGAGGACTGCCTGTACAATGAATCTGTTAGTTTTGTGATGGCAAACCTATGGCACGCATGCCGGAAGTTGCATGCAGAGCCATCTCTCTGGGCATGCAAGCTGTTGTCTCTTGCTCTTCCAGGTTCTGGTGTGCCGGTTAGCTGGTCTTCACCCACATGGGAGCACTGGAAACCGGAAGAGCAGCTGCCCTGTGCGCATGCACGCACCGGGAAGATGATCTTCCAGTTTCTGGCACGTGCATTCGCGCAGCCAGTTGGTCTTCGTGTGTGTATGTGCATCAGAAACTGGAAGACCACAGGCCGGTGCAGATGTATGTGCCGGAAATCAGAACATGCATCTTCCCGGCACGCGCATGTGCAACAGGCAGCTGCTCTTTTGGTTTCCTGCACATGCGCAAGCTCCCAGTTTGGCACTCAGTGCCGAAAAGGTTCGCCAACACTGTGTTAGATAATACAGTTCTAAATAGTTCTCTGCAGAAATCTCTCCTCCTCCTCCTCTTCATATAAACTGTTTCTCACTGCAGAACTTTGCAAACAGGATTATTCATACATCGTGTTGAACCATAATGCAGCTGATTTGATTTGGATTATCTAAGGAATATGATGTAGCAAAACCCAACAGATTGGAAGTTAGGTAACATGGCGAACTCATACTTAGCACAAATGTGTGAACGCACGCACTATTTCCAAGAACAAATTCATGCAAGCCAGGCTTGCATCCATTTTCTCCAAGCCTCCCAATGGTTAATCATGTGCGACCCTTACTAAATTTTATTTAACAAAAAAAGGAGGTTATTTAAATACATTTTCCTCCAACTCAGTTAAGAGCCTCCTGACCTGCCATAACATCTAACCTGCTGATCTTGGAAGCGTGTGATTCAATGTTATGCAAACCCATTTTGCATGATTGGCCACCCAGAGTCGCTCAACAGTGAGCTGGGCAGCATAAAAATTAAACAAATAAATATTAGGATCTCTTTCAGTCTGGCTTTAAGCTTAAGACAGCTTTGCGTCCCTCCAGAAAATAGATAGAATATATTCTGGTTGGTTCTGTTGGAACAGTGATGGCTAACCTTTTCTAGACTGAGTGCCCAAAGCACGCACGAACCCCCCAAATGCAATGCGCGCATGTCCCTGTGCATGTGCCTCCCACGCATGCCTTGCTCCACATGCACCCCACCCCGTGCATGTGTGCATGGCCCCATGCATGTGTCATGCCCCCACGCATGCATGCTCCCACACATGCACGCCCCCCCACGCATGTGTGGCAGAGACCCAAAGGCTAACTGGCTGCAGGAGGCACACGTGCATGTGTGCAGAGCTGAACTGGGGTGACGGCTTGTGTGCCCACAGAAAGGGTGCTGTGCACCACCTCTGGCATGCGTGCCATAGGTTCACCATCATGGTGCTAGAATCTCAATGTCTTTTGGATTGTCTAGTTGGAATGGAACTTGGAGAACTAAAAGAGGCTGTTTCTTGAGGCTGTTTCTGTGTTTTGGGGGGGCATGATTTCATAAGATGCTATCAAGGGAATCTTTCATATGCTTTTATATGGCTCTGATGCCCTGAAAGTTCCAGCTTGTCCCCCTGCTTTTGAACACACATGCAAAAGCACTAAGAGACATTGTTAGGAGCTGGGGGATTTGATGCCCTCAAAATGCTGATCCTACCCAGCTCACTCCATCAGACATTTCCAAGTCAATGTCTGATGTTAGAAATGGACTAGCTGAGGACAAACAAATGGAAATTTAATCCAGACAAAACAGTGGTGCCTTTTGTCAATCAAAAGGTTGCCGAGAGAATAGGGAATTCAAGCTGCAGTGGATGGCATGATGTTTTCTTTGTAGACTGAAGTTTTCAGTTGGCTATTCTGGGGATTTTGCTCTGAATCTGAAGGTTCAGGTTTGATGATGGGCAAGAATGTATTTGCAGTTAAAGCTAGTGCATCCTTTCCTGGATTTGTCAAATGAAATCACAGTAACATGTATGCCTTAACTCTCCTATCTGGTAGAATTTTTCTTATTGATTTTTGTGTGTGTATATAGCACAGTTAGAATTTTAAAGTTATGTAATGGTTGTTCTTGTTTTATCTGTATTTTGTTGTCAATATCCCAGGGCACTATCGTTATTGAAAAGGAGAGCTACAAGTTTAATAATTGACTATTAAGATAAAGATTTCTAGTTGACTAGGAGCAGAGAGAGCAACTTCTCGGCCTTAGCTGTCCAAAATCAAAACTTCGGCCAAAATGAAAAACAATTTTGGTAGAAATTATTTCTTACCTCATTAGCTCAACTATATTTTCAGTGCTCACAATCTACTCACACGCAATTTCAATAAAACTAATTTATCAAGTGAAGCATGCTTTAAATTGTTTTAAATTAGCGTAATGATATCAGAGGATGAGTGATGAAAACACACAAAATGGATGCCAGTAAAAAGGTTAGCTCTCCTTTGAAATGAACTCAACTTTTGGTGATTTCAGGGAGGTATTTAAGTAGGTTTCTACCTACCGATAAAGGAGAATATTTGTAGCTCAGGGTTGAAATGAAAGGTCCTTGGTGCTCTCTGAGCTTGGTTGTTTTCTTGAAGACATTTCATTACCAAACTAGGTAATATTATCAGTGCTTGTGATGATGTTACTTAGTTTGGGTAATGAAATGTCTTCAAGAAAACAATCAAGCTCAGAGAGCACCAAGGTCAACAGGTTTCTATATAGCAGAAACAGTATCCCATCTCCTTTCAGAATATTGTTTTTCAGCTTCCTCCCAGTATATTTTACTTAA